TGAGCGTGAGTCTGAGTCTGAGCTTGAGTCTGAGTCTGAGCGTGAGTCTGAGCGTGAGCGTGAGTCCGAGCGTGAGCGTGAGTGCGAGCGTGAGTGTGAGTCTGAGTCTGAGTGTAAGTGTGAGTCCGAGTCTGAGCGTGAGTCCGAGCGTGTCCTGCCCTGACACGCCCCATCTCCCCATGCTGTCTGACAGGCTCCACGGGGCCTCCAGTGCTGCGCTGGGTCATGGTGCCCTCAGGCCGTCCAATCAGGCTCCTGATGGCTGAGACCCCTCAAACTGCGGTCACCAGACCCTTTTATTGGCTTCAAGTGCTCCTTGTATGTGGGGTGTGTGGCTTGCTCACGCTGACTGCTTGAGGCCCTGTGAGTGGGTCTCCCCAGTGGGAGTCCGCCGCCCCCCACCCCCAGGGTGGTCTCTGCGCAGTGTCCACCCCGGCGGTGGCCTCAGTTGCTGGCCCCGAGCTTTCTTATGGGTTGGTGGCCTTGCCCGGGCTGTGGGTGAGTGGCCAGGTCCGAGGCTGGTGCTCCTTGGTGACTGCAGCTTGTCCACGGTCCTGACCACAGAAGCAGCAGAGGTGCTGCTGCTGCTGCCTGCCGGCCGGGTGCTCCTCTGGGCTGGGGGCCTGATGGGGGCTGCGTGGGGCCCCGGGGCCCTGGGTGTCACAGGGGCCCACTGAGCTGCCCCTCACCATGTCTTGGGGCTTCTGTCTCCCAGCCCCCAGGCCCCTTCCCCAGAGGACAGCCCCTGGTGTGATGGGCTGGGGCCTGAGGCCAGGAGGCCTGGCGCAGACCCCTGGGGTGTGTTCTGCTGTGACTCTCTCCATCTGCCAGGGGCTGGCCCCAGCTGGTCAGCCTGGCAAGGGAGGTGGTCAGGGGCAGGCTGGTCAGCCGGGCAGTGGGGGGCTGGCCAGCCTGGGGAGCGGAGCATCAGCTCCCATTGGGCAGGTCAGGGATTCTGGGCTGGACAGTGATCCAAGGGGAGGTTTTAGCCACAGCGAGGGGCCTGGGCTGGGGTCCACCCCAGGCCGGGAAGCCAGGTGGGCGGCACCCCGCTCTGGACGCTGAGGCTAGGAGACGGGTGCTGTCCGCAGGTGCCCGTGTGGTGGGC